ATGCAAATTCCAGAGGGACTGCAGACCCAATGTAAAAAGCAAAGCCCTAAAACAATTAAAAGAGAATTAGAGTATCATGAGGATCTCTGTGTTAAAAAAAAAAAAAGGTTCCTTAAAAAAGACACAAAGCATTAAAACCATAAAGAAAAGAGTATGAAGTTGATATGAGCACAGAAAACACCTGTGATTCAACGTCATCAAACACAACATAAAAACATCAAACACAGACTAAGAGAAAATATTTATGTAAGTAAATGAAAGACTAGTATCCATAAAATATAAGGAAATTTTATAAATTAATAAGGAAAGACAAACTGTTAAATTGAAAATGGGCAAAAGAAATAAACAAGCAAGTCACTGAAGAAACTGCAAAGAAACCTGAATCTTAAACCACAATAAATACTAATTCACATGCATCCAAGCGGCAAAGACTAGAACGTGTGGAAACATCAAGAGCAGCAGACATTGTGGAGCAGCACGGAGCTCTCTCCAAAGCTGCAGGTGGGGAGGGGTGTGCCTTTCCACCCCCTGGAGAGTGCCAGGTGATGTCAGGAAAGCAGCACCTAGCATGCCCTCTGGCCAGGCAACACGAGTAACCAGGAGGGGAAACCCTGGCATGTGTCTAAGAATATATATCACAGCATTATTTTTAATTCTTGCAGCATTGTTTCTAATAGTGGAAATCTGGAAAACATCTAGTATGTTTATACAATGAAATACTATATAGTAGCCCAGATAAATGGACTAGTGCTACTTCAGCCAGTGTGGATAAATCTCAAAAACATAATGTTGAATGAGAACAGCAAGCTATAGGGCACCAGGCTGACTCAGTCGGTTAAGCACCTGCCTTCCACTCAGATTGTGATCCCAGGATCCTGGGATCCAGCCCTGCGCCAGGCTCCCTGTTCAGCTCTCTCCCTGCTTCTCCCTCTCCCTCTGCCCCTCCCCCCTGCAACTGCTCTTTCTCAAATAAAATATTTGAAAAAAAAAAAAAAGAGAAAAAAGAAAACAGCAACTTATATAAGTACGAATTGATACCATTTATATAAAGTTTAAAAACAGTAAAAAAAAATATAGTTTAGGGATATATATACACACACACATATGTACATATACATACATCTATTTAAGTGTGTGTATGTGTGTACATGCACACGTGTGTGTATTTGTAGTACAGACTGGACGGGATGACAAACATTAACTTTAAGGTAGAAAGAAACTGGGGGTGCCTGGGTGGCTCAGTGGGTTAAAGCCTCTACCTTCGGCTCGGGTCATAATCCCAGGATCCTGGGATGGAGCCCTACATCGGGCTTTCTGCTCAGCAGGGAGCCTGCTTCCCCACCCTCTCTGCCTGCCTCTCTGCCTACTTGTGATCTCTGTCAAATGGATAAATAAAATCTTTAGAAAGAAAGAAAGAAAGAAAGAAAGAAAGAAAGAAAGAAAGAAAGAAAGAGCAAGCAACTTGGGAAAAGAGCAGACAGGAGCTTTAAATGCACCCAAGTAACATTTAAGCTCTTAGAATGAATGATGGACACACATGTGTTCATTATATTGGTGCCATGCCTTTTTCACAGGGAGAGGGGCCTCTTGCTGAGCTTTGGGTTGGGGGAGGCTGTCAGATGATGCTTCCTGATGGACATATTCCCTGAGCTGCTGCCAGAAGAGCAGGCAATGACCAGGCCAAGAAGGTCGGGCTGCAGGAAGATGTGTTCAGGGACCAAGGGGCAGAAAAGGGACCTAAACAAAGGTAAAAAGAATAGCCTTAAGGCAAGGAAAATCATGAGGGGTCAAGGAATCACAAATTACATCAAAGCATTCACCATTATATCAAAAAATCTTAACTTGTCTCCATCTCAGTTTGATACCAAAAAAGCTAGTGCAAACATGCTAACAAGATAACAGACACAGAATTAGGAAAATGAAGAAACTAGGAGGGAGAGCACTCACCAAGGAGCCAAAGCTAAATCATACCTGGATCTCTAGACGTCCAGACAATATATTTTAAAGCTGTGACATTTTAGGAACTTTTAAAAGCTAACCTAGAAGAAGACCAAAGAGCCAGGATATTAAAGAATTTATAACAATACAATGGGTGAGGTCAGATATTTTGAATTATGAAACGTGGGTGAATTCAGACCTAGAACCACTTAGTGCAAGTGGCACTGTGGGGACACAAGGACAGTGACAAAAACTAGCCTGTTGACACAGAATGTTTCTGGAGGGGCATCTGAAGCCACGACCAACAAGAAGGTATTAGGAGATGAAGATATGGTGAGAACGTGGCTCCTGGCAAGTGCGAGGGAACAGAGAGGTCCTCTGCCCCTGCTCAGAAGCAGGCCTTCGTAAAAATATGATGATGGGTCCAAGAGAGACACAAAACAAAGATGGACAGGCATGAACTCTAAAAGATCCAAGTCAAGGGAAGAGGAGAATTGAGGTTCTTGACCAGCTCCCAGCTAGGGTAGTGAACATGACTGTCCAGCTCAAGGAAGAGGCTGGGCCTACACTGTTAACACCTGCAATCCCAATGATGATCCCATACCATGTGACTTTGAGACACAGGAAGGCAGCTCAAGAGTGGCTCACTTGTCCAGGTTCTCACTCAGTAAGTACTTGGTGCCTACCAGGTGGGTTCCAGGTGCAGAGCCAGGCCTGGGGGGTAAGTCAACAAAAGAGGTAAAAAAAGTCCCTGTTCTCATGGAACATACAATGTAGTGGGGTAAACAGAGGTCAATAGGCAGTTAAACCCCATGTAGTGACCATCAGGCAAGTACAGGGAACATCTAGGACAGCACTAGACTGAGGTTTGATAAAGCAAATATTGAACAATGAAGCCCTCAATGCTAAGAGAACACAAAGAATGAGGGTTTTAGGTGGATGAAAATTACCAGATGGGGGCTTCTACTTCCACTAAGGATGAACACAGTTGGAAAGAAAGTGCTTCCACTAACAAGGAAGGTAAGAAACACAACTCATAATGTAAAGCCCTAAAAATACACATATTCTTTGACTCAGGAATTCCATCTTTAGGAATCCTATAGAAATCATTAGAAAAATGTTCCAAAAATATACATACAGGTATGTTTGTGGCATCTCTGTATAAAATAAGTACAACTGAAAACAATCTAAATGACCATCACCAGGGCCAGTCATCAAGGGGAGTATAAAGCAGCTGTTAAAAATGAAGATGTGGGGGCGCCTGGGTGGCTCAGTGGGTTAAAGCCTCTGCCTTCGGCTCAGGTCATGATCCCGGGGTCCTGGGATCGAGCCCCGCATCGGGCTCTCTGCTCAGCGGAGAGCCTGCTTCCTCCTCTCTCTCTGCCTGCCTCTCTGTCTACTTGTGATCTCTGTCTGTCAAATAAATAAAAAAAAAAATCTTAAAAAAAAAAAAAAAATGAAGATGTGGACTTCAAGTGGAAGGTAGTGGTAAAATGCATGTGTTATGTTTATACCTTCGCCTTCCAAAAATTCATTTGAAATGATAGAAAATAAATAAATAAAACAAGAATGTCACTAAAAAGTGCTACCCATAAAACAGAGGAGTGCTACCCATAAGCCAGAGGTACTGGAGATTTCTGGAAGAGGATAAAACACAGCAAGATATTAATCTGGAAATGCAATAGAAAATACAAACTTACAATCCCGTACAGGCACCAGCAAGGACCTCACAAAGAGAGTGCTTTTGCAGTAGAACTCCAGAATTACTCTTTGATGAGAAGCAGCAGCAGCTAAGAGAAAGGGTGCAGCAGGCACCTGCCTTCAGAGGAGGCACCAGTGTTAGTCCTGCTCATGGTGAGCCGATAAAGACCACAGAAGAGGTCTCTAAAGTGGGGCGTCCAAAGAAAGACCTTGCTAAGATGGGTGAAAAGTCCAGAGAGCATAGGGCCCTGATCGGGGCTGCAGCTCCTGCCATGTGTGAGCCCACCCAGCCCCGCACAACCACCTGCTGTGAGCACTGGATACCCCCACACGTAAAGGTCAGGTGAAGGCTGGAGAGACGCCGTCCAGACCCATGACAGGGGGGGACCCATGGGGTAGACAGATGTATTGTGAAAGGGAAGGAAAGAGCACCGAAATGTTTTATTCTACACACATCCAAGGTATGTGAATTTATCACATATATACTCATATGTATATATTTTTATAGTACATATTTAAATAATTAATGTATTTAATTCATATATTTAAATAATTCAAATGTTTAAATCTAAATATAGATTCAGGTCAATATTAATGTATGATATCAAGATGTCATAAGTGAAATTGAAAAGTATAAAATTAAAATGGGGTTTTATTTTGGTAGAAAAACAGTATTTTATAAATATGAGTACTTAGCAAAAAGTCAACAAAGATAGATGCCAAAATGCTAACCACAGTTAATTCTGCATGGTGGGATAATAGGAGACTTTTACTAGTTTTTGTTTATTTGTTTGTTTACATTTCTATACTTGAGGAAGTGGTCTGCAATGAAAAATCAGTAATGAGTCATCTTTAAATAAAAAAAATATAAAGCCATTTAAAAGCTAATTGCTTTGAGTATTATTAGAGCTGCATCATAAATTCAAGGGTATTATACTTTTTTCATCAGAGACAGCTGGAACAACAACAAAGAAATGGAGGAGGTCATCAGAGCATCAGACATCTCAACACATTTCTGGACCTCAGAAGCCTCCCGTCCAGTCCACGTTTGAAGATAAGCAAGGGGGAGTGGGAACAGGGTGTCCCTTGGGCCCTCACCCCCAGCAAACATGACTCTCTGGATGGAAAGGACCCCTTACTAATTCAACACTTTGTGAAGGCAGGGAGCACATGTCTTGTTCCCTCACTCTGTTCCCCAAACACAGCAGGTGTTAAATGAGGATCAGCTGAATGGGTCAACAGAGCAAAACACACCCATCAATATGGGGCCTGCTCTCAGAAAGGGAAGGCAAATCCACAGATAGGCAGAAAGTCAGCTCTGAGGCACCGAAGCTGGCATCTGCCAAGGAGTGCTAACTTACCGGGTGCCGGGTTGAAAGTCTTCCGGTCACAGTTCCCATCTGATTCCAAGTAGAGGAAATGGAACCCTTTGTCAGTTAGAAAGAATCAGTTTCAGTGTGGGCAATGCCGTGTGAAATCAAGAATACACAGGCCCACGGGCCCTGCTCACAGTCTCCCTGCTCACAGTACACAGCACTCACTGCTCTCCTGCAGACGTCCACAAGCTGCTGGCCCAAAGCCCTCAACCCTGAGAGGCCGCTGGGCATCAGCCAACTGCTGGCCAACAAGGAGGGTCCCCCAACCCAGGCAGAAGCAGCAACAGGACATGTGGGTCTTTGGGTACCTTCAAGCCCCTGAGCATGGGGAGAGGAGGGCCATGTGCTGCGGGGACACCACATGGACTCCAGGCGGGGGTCTGCAGCCTAGACAGGGGCCCGCAGCCTAGATGGGGGCCCAGACAGAAGGCCTCTGCTGGTAGCCTCCTCCTCCTGCTTCCCTGCACTGGGTGCGGGCAGAGGTGTGGTGACAGGTGTCACAGTGCCTGGGCAGCCCCAGGACTCCCGCGTATGTGCAGCTCCAGGCCTGAAGGCATGATGCCAACTCAGGCTATAAAGAGACCCGCTAATAACAAATCACGGCTCACAGCTCAAGAATATTTGGTGATTTCATTGTTAACTAAAATTTCAGGAAATTGTATATGTCTCTGAGGCCCCATGGAAACCACATTCCTGAGCACAGGATCTCGTTCAGCTCCATTACCTTTTTCATGCAAGCTAGTAATCCATCCACAAAGGCTGACTTGGTCTTGTGAACCTAGGTAACACAGACAAAAGTAATCATTTTCTTGTTTAAGCATTGAGCAGGAACCAGCGTCACAGACGTGTTTCACAGAGCACTGGGCGTGTGCCACTCACGTGTCCACTCCGATGACTCCAGGAGGCCCTGCAACAGCCTGGTGCGGGACCCAGAATTAAACAATGATGCACAGAAAAAGATGGCACCCTACCCCCTTTTCTGGAATAATTCTGGAATCATTCTTCTCACAGAAATGTTGCAGAGATAAATGGAGCGTCGTTGTGGGTACCTGTCCTCCTGCATCCCCTAAGGTGTCTTTAGTTCTCCTCTAGTCGTTTCATCCCTTCAAGAGAAGGCTGTTTGGTGTCATGACCAAGCCCTGTCAGCTGCCACACCTCAGGAGAGCAGCAGGCCGCAGGTTCAGGGGATGGCAGACTGATGGTACAGGCGGTGGCCCAAGTTATGGCCGCAGCTCACCAACAGCAGAGAACACATGCAGGTGCATGGACAGAGGAAGCGCGGGCCGCTGAGGAAGGGGGCGCGCCAGCGAACAAGGGCACCACCATGCTGAGAGAGGAGTGGGGAACCTCACCAGGCCCAGGGCTGGGGAGCAGCCGGAGGTCCTCAAGAGGCTTCTGAACTCTGCTGGTAGAGTCTAGCCCACAGCGAAGCCACCTGATGACAACACACATCCCCTCCCCGCCTTCATCCATCCTCGTCCCCATGGGACCTGGTGGCTCCAGCCGAGTGGGGTGCACGAGAGCAGCGCAGGTACCAAGTCACCTGAATGAGCTCTGTCCCCCTCGGAACACTGCCAGCGCTACTGCCATGATCACGGACTGATGGCTTTTGTCAGGGGCGGTGCCAGACGGCCCCCTCTCTCACCAACTCACTCACTCACAAAGGAAACTTACCCGTCTATATTCCAAAATTATCTTGGGTAATGGATGAAGGTCCTGCAGAGCACTTAACTGAAAAATGAGGATAAATGTCACCAATATAATTCCTTCATTTAATTTTAACATTTTGAACACTTATTTTCAGCTGGAGAAAGTCCTAGTAATAAGTGGTCGTATTGACCATATTTTCCAAAGTGAAGATTCATAATAAATGTAGTTTTCAAGTGTCTTAATCTAAATCCCTTATAAAATCACTGCCGTCCATATGGGAGCTAAAGGCCCTTAACACAGGCTTGGAATAAGATTGCTTCCAAGATTAAATTCATGGAATCCAAATCCAGGATATGCAAAATACCACACAGGAGAATAAACTAAGAAAATGCCTCCAAAAAGAGTTTAGGAACATCCAATGTTTCAATCACAGTTATCTGGGCATAATGTCAGGGAGGTAATCTCAGAATAGGATTACGGATTTTAACAAATTTTAAAAGGCCAAAATATGGGGCGCCTGGGTGGCTCAATTGGTTGAGCAGGTGCCTTTGGCTCAGGCCCTGATTCCAGGGTCCTGGGATAAGCACCGCATCGGGCTCCCTGCTCAGAGGAGAGCTTGCCTCTCCGCCTACTTCTGATCTCTCTCTGTCAAAATAAATAAATAAAAATCTTTAAAAAAAAAAAAAAGGCCAAAATATTACATACAGGATGACTCAAGATCATAAGAACATGATTTGTTCGATTACCACAAAGTGAACACGCTGGGGTAAGGCCATGCACACAGAACACTCCAGGTGCCCTGTGCGTCCCACCCCTCCCCTGTAGGTAACCACCACCCTGACCTCCACCATGAAGGCCACTTTTCCCAGCTTTCAAACTTTGTATCAAAGGAAGGGGATAGGCACTGTGTGTGGCTTTTGTTCAATATGGTGGTTTTAACATTCATCTGTGTTGTATGAAGCAGCATTTCATTTACTTGTACTCCTATCTTCGACTATGTGAATGTAGGACAACTAGATTTTATCCTTGATGGATACTAATAACTTGTTTATAGGCCATGATGACTAGTGCTGCTGTGAACATTCTGGAGCCTGGATTTTGGTTAACATAATGTCCATGGTTCTGCTGAGTAGAAACACAGAGAGGAATGGAATCGCAGGGCCAACCGCAGCAGAGACACCACCAGCCAGTTCTCCCAAGTGAAGGCACCCGTCTGTACCCTGTCAGTATGGTAGGTGATCCAGTTGCCCCACATCTTTGCCAACACATGTCCCAATGTTAATGTTAGCCACTCTGGTAATTGTGTTGTGATACTGCACAGTAGTTGTGTATGTAATTCCTCAATGACGACTGTAGTAGGACCATATTCACACACTCATTGACTAAGTAGGTATCTTCCCTCATTAAACCCCTGTTCATGTCTGTTGCCCATTTAAAGAATTGGTTTGTGTGTCTTTTTTCCCCCCATGATTTGTAGGTATTTGTTATTCTGGACAGCAGTTTCTTCAGCCAATTATATTTACTGGAAATCTCTCTGCCCTCTGTGACTTTCTTATTTGTTTAATGGCATCTCTTCATTAACAGAGATTCTAAACTCTACTCTTGTCCAATGTATCCGTCTTTTCCTGCATGGGTAATGCATCCTGTATCCTACTTAGGGACATTCACGCACCAAAAGGTCTTGAGGATGTTCCTTTATGGTATCTTCTATAGTCTTTGTTGTTTTTGCCTTTCATATTTAGATGTACAGCTCATTTGGAGTTTATTTTTGCATATGCTGTGAAATAGGGCCATTTATGGAACGAGCCGTCCTTACTCACTGCTCTGCAGAGCCACCCTCTCAGAGATCGTGCCTATCATACAAGCGTGTGGACTCCCCACACTGGGTCCGTTGGTCTATTTGTTCATGCTCCTGTCGACACTACACTATGCTACTTAGTTCCTCGCAATCCCCATTGATTTAGGGTTAGTCTTGATGTCCAATGGACTAAGTCCTCCAGTAGTGCTAAGATCACACTGGCTTAGTTCTTTGCATTTCTTTGGCAATTTTGGAATCAGCTTGCCAGCTTCTCCAAAAAAACTGCTGCTAAGATTGTTCTGAATCTAGGGGCGCCTGGGTGGCTCAATGGGTTAAAGCCTCTGCCTTTGGTTTGGGTCACGCCTGGGATCTAGCCCCGCATTGGGCTCTCTGCTCAGCAGGGAGCCTGCTTCCCGCCTCTCTGCCTGCTTGTGATAAATAAAATCTTTAAAAAAAAAGATTGTTCTGAATCTATAGACCAGGCTGGGGTAACTGAGGCCATACACTCCTCTAACAGCGTAAGGCATAAAGTTGTATCCCGGTCTGTTTGAATAAAGACAGAGGACCCAAGGGTCTTGGCTGGCCACAGTTGTAAGCCAGAGAGCCGGTGCTGGTGCCATGGGAATAGGCACTCCCCGGGGGGGGGGGGGGGCACCTGACCTCAGTGCGATCCAGAATTGCCCTTTACTTAGAAAAGTTATCCCCGGGGGCATGGAAGTACATAAAAACACTTAGCAAAGAAAATTGCTTAAGATGGACTAGCTCTCCTTATCTGGATACCTTACTCACAAAATAACTTTCTAACCACAGTCTCTCTGTATATCTCTACTTGAGCCGAGTGAGAACGCTTGAAAGATATAAGTATTTGATATCATCCAACCGTGGAGCAAGCCCTACCGGCGCTGGTTTGCGATCAGAGGCGGTTCTGCAGCCACGGACCGCCCAGGGAGCTTTATCACATGCTCCCTGTTGGCTCCTGACAGCACATTCTTCTCAGCTACCTTCTCCCATGGCCACTCCGTAGTCTCTTGTGGGCGCCTCTTCCCTGACCTCTAAGTGTCAGTTTCTCAGCATTCAATTCTGTGGTTATCAATGTTGGCTGGCTTATGAGAAACAGCCGGGAGCTTCAAAAACATGCTTGGGCCTGGGCTGTCTGACCCACAGACATGATTCTGTGGTTCAGTCGTCAGCCTGGGCGTGAGTGTCTTTCCAAAGCTCTATCCAGGGTAGGGGACTACCATCCCAGGGCAATTTTACTAAAAACTGGCTGACCACTTGCAGCACAAGACTTCTCATGGACCCAACTGCTCCCGTGACATCTCCGTGCCCGTGTCTTGTGAACACCTCTGTCTTAATATGTCTGAGAGTGAATGCCTGACCAACACCCCACCTCCCACCCCTGCCCAGTAAACTGTTCCTCTCCTAGTTTTCCCTGGGTAGTGGCATTTTCTCTCTGCTCAGCTGCACAGCTAAGAAAACCAAGAGCTACCCCACAGTCTTCTGTTGACACTCACATGAACTCTCACTCACAGAGTTCCTTTCTGCTCCAGAAATTCTCTGGAAATTCGTCCACTGCTCCATCTTCACACCTGTCACCTGGACCACAGAGACTTCTGTCCCCACACTGCAGTGACAGCTTATTTTTTTAATAGTCATTTTCAGTATGTTGCATAATTTTTCATTTTTCCTTCGGTGAATTTGTATTTCTTCATTTTTTAAAAGATTTTATTTATTAATCTGTGAGAGAGAGCGAGCGAGCACGTGTGCACAAGCAGAGGGGAGCAACAGGCAGAGGGAGAATCAGGCTCCCCGCAGAGCAGGGAGCCCCAAAGTGGGGCTCAATCCTAGGACCCTGGGATCATGAACTGAGCAGAAGGCAGGCAGGCACTTAACCACTGAGCCACCCAGGCATCCCCAGTGACAGCCTATTAGCAAGACTCCTGCCTTGTATGTCCTGACTTTTCAGGACATAGCTCACATCTGTTAGGACACGCAGAATCCAAAGCCCTGACAACACCACATGCTGGCAAGGGTGTGAAGCCATAGGAACTCTCATCCACCTGGTGGGAAGGCAGAAAGATGTAGTCACTTTGGGAAGTAGTTTGTCAGTTTCTTACAAAATTCAATATACTTTTGCCATACGATCCAGCAATCATGCTCCTTGGTATTTACCCAGAGGAGCTGAAAACTTCAGTCCACACAAAAACCTGTACACAGATGTTTAGAGCAGCTTTCTTCCTCATTGCCAAAATTTGGAAGCAACCAAGATGTCCTTCAGTAGGTGAATGGATAATAACTGGGGTCCATCCAGATAATGGATCATTGAAAAGAAATGAGCTATCGGGGCGCCTGGGTAGCTCAGTGGGTTAAGCCTCTGCCTTCAGCTCAGGTCATGATCTCAGGGTCCTGGGATCAAGCCCCACATCGGGCTCCCTGCTCAGTGGGGAGCCTGCTTCCCCCCCTCTCTCTCTGCCTGGCTCTCTGCCTACTTGTGATCTCTGTCAAATAAAATAAAAATCTTAAAAAAAAAAAAGAAAAAATGAGCTATCAACTAGGAAAAGACATGGAGAACTTGAAATGCACAAATCTGAGGGAAAGAAGTCAGTCTGAAAAGGCTGCACACTGTATGGGTTCCATCTACAGGACATTCTAGAAAAGGCAAAACTATGGGGACAGGAAAATATTGGGGCAGGGGTGGGGTGAAGGGGGAACATGTGGAGAACGAGGGTGTTTAGGGCAGTGAAGGTACTCTGCGTGATACCACAGTGGTAGACACCCGTTATTACACATTTGTCCAAACCCATAGAATGTGCGACACAAAGGGTGACCCTGGAGATATACGATGGACTTTGGATGATGATGACTTGTCAGTGGAGGTTCACTGAATGTAACAAACAGTCTCAGTGGGGGGGGGGG